TCTTCTCATATGTATCCCTTAGATATAGATACAAAACTCTCTGGAAATGCCAGTCCTATATGCTTGAAATGAATGGTGCTGCAGATCATGAGCTTTCTGCCTAGACTGTAGGTTACAGAGGCTACTAGAAATAAGTACATATTGGAGTACGACTGTTAGATGTGTCATTCTCAGTGAGTTGATATTCCATTACTCGCTCATAAATGTCTCCTTACTGTACCCTAGCTTGTTAAATAATGTTCCCTGGGAAAGAATGTATTTATTATGATGCCAAATATTTCTTTAGGTAAAACATTTACAGAAAATAACTTTAGATCTTAGATAATCCTAGATAGCAACACTTACATCAGGAAAGAATCACAAATTCCTATAGTGCCTCTTTTAGGTAGCATTAGTCTTCAGAAAATAATTCTCTGAAAGATATCTTTTCTACCAGAAAGAAACTGAGCATGGGAGATTTGGCCTTTTTTGAGCTTTTATGACATTATATTTCTCAGAACATATATATAAACTTCATTCATAGTGTGTAACACACACACTGTTCTTATTATCCTGATATAAGATTGTTAGACAATTTATTATTAAATAATCATTCTCAAGCGATGGGGCTATCTTCTGTATATGTTTCTCTTATTGGTTGATTAATATAGCACTGTAGCCAATGAGGAAGGATGATAGGTGAGAAAAGCAGACAAGGATGATTTTGGGAAATGTAGGCAGTGTCACTTACCATGTAGGATGGGAGAGGACTAACAGGTTCAGACTCATTCTCGGGTAAGGTAAGACCACATGGAAATACTTAGATTAATAGAAATGGGTTAATAATTAAGACAGAGCTAGCCAAATAAGAAATAATAGTCACCAACCAAGAGTGTCATAATAAATATACTGTTCTTGTGCTGCTTTGGAGCAGAGAAGGGCAGAGGGACAAGACAGGCCAGAAACATTCATGCTATACAATGGTGCCCACTTCCTTGTAAACTTGACAAAATCTTAAAAAGGGATTTTAGAAACAAAAAACAGAGACAAGAATGTCTTCTTGGTAGCAGCCTTTTCTCAGGTGTGCTCTGTTTTGATAGAGATAAGCTCCATTTAGGGAGGTTTCCTGACACAACATAAATGGAATATCTGCATGGCTCTTTTTACATGCCCTGCTCACAATTGAATGATGTGTATGAGCATCTAGAAATGGCAGAGACCACGTCTACCCGTCAGCAGCATGCTGCTTAATGGCAGAATAGACCAAGGTGGTAAGCACAGTTCCCAGTGCTGGTGGTAAAATTATTTGCACCATGTTGGAAATTCAGCAGCTAAAATAACCAGAACTTTAATTTCATTTTAACTTTGCCACTTTGTCTAGCAGAAAATGGTAAAGATTTACAGTAAAGACAGTTATAGAAGAAGACAAACTTCTGAAAGTTTTGTAGTGTGTTTAACTATATACATAGCATTGTGATAGAAAAAGGATCAGGATTGTGTTTTAAAAAAGGAAATACAGTAACTGGGTGTTGTGGCACACATCTTTAATCCTAGCACTTGGGAGGCAGAGGCATACAGATCTCTTTGATTGCAAGATCATCCTGGATTACAGAATAAATTCTATGACAGACAATATTTACACAGAGAAACCATGTCTCAAAACACAAAACAACAACAAAAATATATGTAAAAGAAATACAGTAAGTAAATAAAATAATAATGTAAAATAATTTTTAAAACCACATAATGATGGAAAGTACTCAGACAGTCTGAATACTTGATGCTATTGTGTTTCTTTAAATTTTTCAGTTGCTGACAAAACAGCAACAGCTGCTAAATGATATTTGATTAGAAATGATGCTGGATTAGTCCATCTTATATATTTTAAAATGATGTATCTTCAAAATTTAAGTTCAAGGACAGGTTACATTGGTAAAGAGATTTCTTTCTTCTTTCCACAGAAAATGAAAATCTGCAGATGGCTTCCAAAGTAATATGGATTGATCAAGGAAGACCCCCTGAAATAATGACCCAGGTGTTAAAACATCCAAAAACAGTTGAGATGATGTAGTCACAGACCACTACAGCCAGGATTTCTGCATCTTCTTATGTTCCCAAGACAGTACTCCCAAACAGCAGGAAGAAGTTTGCAAAGAGCGATACGCACATTCCCAAATACTATTTATTTATTTACTTTTCTCGTATTTTTCTTTTAACTTTTACACATGTCACTCTCAGTTCACTCTCATGCCCCTGCTCCCCCAACCCCCAATCCTCACAACCCCTCACCCCACTCCACCTCCCTCCACTCCCCAGGGAGGGCAAGGGTTTCCATGAGGGATTTTCAGAGTCTGTCAGGTCATCCCAGGAAGGGCCTAGATTTTTCCCCATGTCTAGGCTGAGAGAGCATCCCTCCAAGCGGTATGGGTTCTCAGAGTCCATCTGTATGCCAGGAATAAATACTGCTCTACTCTCCAAGGTCCCATAGATTGCCAAGGCCTCCTCTCTGTCACCCAAGTTCGGGGGAGGGATGTGTGGATCAGTCCCTTGCTGGCCCCTCAATCTTCAGTCTGGGGTCCAGGTGTTCCCACTTGTTTAGGTCAACTGCTTCTTTGGGTTTTGCCAGCCTGATCTTGAGTAATTGGGTCTTCACTCCTCTTTGCAACTGGGTTCCAGGATTTCAATTCGGTTCACGGCTGTGGGTGTCTGCCTCTGCCTCCATCAGCCACTGGGTGAGAGTTCTAGGATGGCATATAAGGTAGTCATCATTCTCATTATCAAGGCAGGGCATTTAAGGTAGCCTTAATGCCAGTTGGTGTCATTCTTGTAGATCTGTGGAGATCACACTAGTGCCAGAACTCTCCTCTGACTTATAATGGCTCCCTCTTTTATGGTATCTCCCATCCTTCTCTCCTCTATTCTTACCCTGGCTCAACCTTCCTGTTCTCCCATGTCCTCCGCTCCCCTCCTCTTTTCCCTCTCTCTTTCTACCATGTCTTTCTTCCCTCCCCTTCTCCCCCACAAATCCAACTAGTAGATCTAATCCCACAAAACTCCGGGTTACCATGAATATCTCTCTTAGGGTCCTCCCTGCATCCATACTCTCTTGCGGTGGGATACTGGCCTGGCAGTGCCATGCTCCCTGTCTAAAATACATGTATGAGTTAGTACATACCATGTTTGTCTTTTTATGATGGGGTTACCTCACTCAGGATGGTTTCTTCTAGTGTCATCCATTTGCCTGCAAATTTCAAGATTCTATTTTTTTTTCTTCTGAGTAGTATTCTAGTATTCCAGTGTCTTCCAATTCTTGCTCTGTGCATAAGGTGAGTGCCGGCCCTGCTCTGAGTCCCAACTCCCTACACTCCCCAAATATTATTTATGAATATTTGTTTTCATTCCATTTGGGTTGGTTATAAATGGTTAAAGATCACAAACAATCTCTTTCTAAAGAAATAAAAGGGATTGCGATATAGAAATGAATAGTTTGTATTGGAATGAATTTTCATTTATTTACATAATTTAAGGCCAATTTTGCCATATGAACTATTTCCCTACATTTCTAGATATTGTGCATATATAGGTCGTTTAAAAATGTAATGTATAATTAAGTACAGATTTTAGATAGTTATATATAATAGCCAAAACTGATAATTAGGTTAGTTAGGTTTTCTAGATACTTACTTGATATATTTCAATTGGATAGGAATTCTTGAGACCTTTCAAAGAAATACAGAATAAGGAATTTAAAATTGTTTAGAGGGTTTTTTCATGACAATGAGACACAAGAAGCCCTGGCCATACCAATAACATTCTGAGAGGAAGATGGGCACGGAAAACCTCTTGCAAACTTGCTACAATGAGTATCTGGTAAGCAAGTTAGGATCACTTTTCACTACAGTTTCTTCTGATTACAGCAGGGATGGCTCAGTGGTACAGAAAACTGTTGGGACAGTACTTACCGCCACAAATTGTGGTCTGTGATATATTAAATTTTCTGATGACAAGGACAAGAAAACCTTTAGTACAGCAAAGTAAAAACAAATCACAGAGTATTTAATCTCCAATTCTGCTTTGAATACTTCAATACAGTGTCGTTTTATAATCTGAGAAACTTTGGAATGGTGAAAAATAAAATTAAGAAACCAAAAAGTCTAATTAGAACTGGGAAAATATGTGCTACAGACAAAAACCTGTCCAATCCTACTACATAGCACCTGTGTAGTCTTTGGATAAGTCAAAAGAACCAGAAGCCTTCACTTGTTGACTCAGAAGCAGGTTTGGCAAATGAAGCAACATAAAGAAAATGTGTTGATTCTAGAACACATGTCACGTTGTCAAAAATACTGTGTATTTAATGAATAGAAATTGATTTTAATATTATTTTGACACCTACACCCATTTTCCTGAGTTTTGTCATTGTTACCTAGAATATTCAGAAGATGCAAATCTATAAGGGAAAGAATACAAAATTAGAAAAGAAATGTGTTTCAAATAAAAGTCATTATATTTGTGCCCTCTACACGGAAAATCCTTCTGCTTTGTGAGGAAAAAACAAAGCATGAACAGGGAATTGGTTTACATTTCTATGTACCCTAGATTCACAGTATTTTTCAGAGAGAAAACACTCAATTCAAATTTGTTGAATAAATGAGACAGAAAGCAAAATTTATTAATATTTATTAACACTTTCCTGTTTTCTTGCATGAGCTTAACAAATAAAGGTATGCAGCATTTAATGTTAGATAATGCACTGTACAATTTAAAGGAATCCTAAAAGATTGCATAGTTTTCCCACATTTTTGAACAAATATAATGGAAAACGAAGGCATGACCATCTTTCCTCCCAGACTCTAAAACTAATAATCCTTCTATTTCAGGGATTAACATTTATCTACCCCCAACAAAGCAGTGAATGAAACACCAAGTCAGCATGTTCTGTTTCAGTTGAGAGAGGGAGAAGGAGGACTTGGCCAAGAAAGGAGGAAGAGGAGAAAGAGGAAGTAATATAAATGGAAGGCATGTCTTCCTTCCTTTCATCCTTTTCCCTTTCTTCTTTTTTCTCCTCCTTTCCCTCCCTCCCTTTTATTTCTCAGTTCTACTCCACATTCTCAGTAAAATCGGTTTCTGCTTCCTCTTCCCTTTCCTCCTCCCTTTCCTCCTCCCTTTCTTCCATCTCTTCTTCCACCACTTCCACGATCACCAGCTCCTCCTCTTCATTATCACCTTCCGTTTCTTCATATATTTCTAGAACTTCATCCACACCCTCTTCCATGTCATCCACCGGAATCAGTAAAATCAGGGAGTTCTGTGATTTATGGGGGTCCAGAAAATCTTCAAGGTCGAGGTATGGACAACTTCCGTAGTGAATCATGATGACCCTTACTGGAGGCAGTAGGCAGAAATATGGGTGAAGCGATCCTAAATGCCTGGGGGAGGGAGAAGTGGAGTAAATGGCCTGAGATGAAAAATTTACATCTGAATATTCGGACGAAAGCCACCTTGCAGAATTTCTCTGGGGTAAATTATATACAAAGCAGTACCCATATTTATAGATATGCCTAAATCTTCCCCCAACTCTGAAGGCTCTCGGTTCTTCTTGGTCTATGGCATGGAAAGTTTCTAAGAGTCACAGGTAGAGAATACCTGCAGTTAAACAGTATTTGCCAGACAAAACAAAGCAGGTTTACACTTGAAATCAAACTTCCTGGGATTTCTTGTGAAAAATCAGCACATAAATCAATCCAGTCCAAATTCTACCACGTATGGAGGAGGGTGTTCTTGAGTTCTCTGTCTGAGGAGCTTTGAGAGATTGATGGCTGCGAGGGCAAGGAGGGTCTGTTTTATTCAGGATTGCTATTCCTAAAAGGGTCCCAACACCAACAGATCATCCCACACCTAGGCACATGCAAGCAGCACTAAGTATACTCAGTTCAAAAAGACCACATGTGGATGAGAAGAAAAGGTGGTGAATGGGGAGATGGGAAGAAAACAGAATATGGACTGTATTTGACCAATGCACACTTTAGACCGGCACAAAATTTTAGAAAATAAAAATTCATATTTGTGAGGTAGTGAAATAAAAAGGTAGAGTGCGTGGAATACCATCTCTAAACAAACCTGTCAGGGTCTGTCTGGGATACATTAAGGACTGGCTACATATTGTCGAGAATCTGACCTTTCTAAGTCAGAGGTGGATTTATTCCTCATGGTGCCGTCAGACCTGACACTTGCCCTTCTGCTGCATTTGGACATGTCTCTTCATTATAAGCCTTCACTTGTTTTGTGACATTAAAAAGGAAGTGAGGGTGAATACCTCACTGTGACTCCCATGGTCTTTAAGAGCTGACAGCAAGGCAAGGTAGAGCAGGAGACACCTTCATTTCCAGAAAGGGGAATTATGCCCTCTGCTTCAGGGTTTTTCTTAGATCCTGTTAGAACCTGGGACTCCTCTCTCTGCTGCTAGAGATACTGTCCCCACTTCAGTATCAAATATTCACTACCCTGAGAACACACATAACAATGAGGAGTTGGAATGTCTGACCAGTACTGCCTGTCCCTCCCGAACAGACAGCAGAGGGTGGATCCTGTCTGGTCCACAGTGTGCTTACCCTGAGTTTTCCCTCACACTGTTCATCTTTACTCTTTGCAGGTCTGAACCATGGAATGTTGATAGGATGTCTAATAAGACACAATCTCACCTTTCTAAGTGATCTCCTCACTGTTAAAGAAAGTGATAGTGTATCACAACTTGTTTCATTTTACTAGGTCCTTCAATGGCTGAGAACAGAAGACATCTGTACTCTTTAGACCCATTACTTGAGATATTTTAGTACTCACCTAGGTCCTTAACATGCAAGGTATCTTCTCTACTGAATTGGCATCACAATTTCAAGAGTCTCTAAAGAAAAATACAAAGAGATTCCTTAGGAAGCGATGTTCTGTGTAGGACTAGATCCCATCTAGTCAGCTGGAGGACTGCCCTTATATATCTATCATGATATATATTTTTAGTCTTGGCTTTTCCCCCACATTTCATTGTCACTTGAATATCAGACCTTACTTTTGGAGGAGATATGAATACTTTCCATCTGACCATTTTTGTCCATATTGTGTGAGACTCATTTTATATGGTTTGGAGTCTTTTTGGTGACTTAACCATACCATGAATCTTTACAGATCCTAGAAATCTTCCCTCTGCTCATGTGACATAAGGTAACCAAAGTGTTCTTCTATCTCACCGGATATTTTAGAAAATAGTAAAATGTATGAAATGTAGTAATTCTCTTAACAAAGTCAGGTATTCTGTGCAAAAAGAAATCTCAGTACATTCCTCTTCAGTGTTGCTAAATCTTGTCATAGTCTGACATGATTATCTAAGTCCTCACCTTCTTGAACTACTTACTGAAGTAGTGGCTTCTCATTCAATCTTGCCATCCTAGTCTGTGTCTTCATAGGGATGAAAACATTAAGCAGACACAATCTGTATGATCCTATTTTTCTAATGTAAAGAGTAAAGTTGGAGTGAATGTCCTCTGTCCATTCCTCCAGGGGTCACTAATTTGACCACACAGAGAAACACACTTACCTAACATAGCTCCTGTTTAGGCTGTCAGACTCTCAGAACAACATCCTCTCTTCATGATTGTCAGAAGCGTCTGAATAGATCTGGGGTCTACTCTCTCTATGACTTCCTTCCACTAAAGACAGGGGTTGAACCTAATATTTCATCTTACCCCAGTCAGAATGGCTAAGATCAAACTACAACAAGTCAATTGACAACAATTGACTGTAGAGAAGTATTTGTTGCAAGGGAAACTTCATTCACTGTTTGTGGGACTGCAAATTAGTATATCCACAGGTAAAGTAAGTGTGGAGAATTCTCAAAAACTTAAAACAAAGGAAAACAAACCAAAACCTACCATGGCACACTTTGACATATGCCTAAAGGAGTTGACATTGTATTCCTTAGATATTTGCGCAGCGGTGGTCATTGCTACTCTGACTGTGCTTATTTTATTGAATTGGGTTTTTTAAATTTCATTTATTTTATGTGCATGAATGCTTTGCCTACAAATATGTATACTGCCTGCTTACAACTTCAGGAGCTCCATGGGGGTCAGAAGACAGAAAAAGATCTCCTAAGACAGTTGTGTGCTGACTTGTGGGTGCTGTGAAAAAAACCTAGGTCCTCTTACATTAGGAACAAGTACCCTTCACCACTGGCACACCACTCCATCACCATAACTCTAGCAGTAATAGGTACGTAATAGAAACAAATTTTGGTGTGTGTGTGTGTGTGTGTGTGTGTGTGTGTGTGTGTGTGTGTGTGTGTTCAGGGCCAAAGTGATTAGTTACAAAATCATGGGTATACAAGATGTCCTAGGAAGACTGTACTTATATATTTAGGAAAGTATATGATGCAATAATTTAAATAATGGAGGGCAGGGACCAAGAAATTGAGAGAGAACTGTGTGTGTGCACATTTGGTGTTAGAGGGAATAAAAGTAAGGGGAATTGATGTAATTATATTTATGTTTGAAATGTGAATACAGTTTCACCTGCCTGAGTAACTTAAATGAGGAAATGGAAAATTATCTGGGAACTCCAGAGAATGATTCTTTGAGAAGGTATGTCACCAAGGTAGGTCAGAATCTAATCCCCTCTCAAAGGAAACAAATAAAAAAATAAACATCCTTACCTCCTTCTGACCACAAAATTGAATCCAAATTGAATCCAAGGAACAGCAGAGGGCTTGCTGTCTGGCCGTGCTACAAGTGACTGCTGGATGAGATAAGAGTAGATCTCGGTGGAGGGGAAGTTCAAAGTTATCACTTGGCATCATTTCTTTCTCTGCCCAGAATCTCGACATCCATGACTCTCCTCCCACACAACCCACTTCCTTTAATTTGCTAAGACTGTGAGATTTCCCTCAGTTATCCTCCACCTGAACCTAAGAAAACCTCATCAAATGATGTGACTGACTGTGATGACCCAGGTGGAGAGCCTCACTCTCCTTGGTGAGTGAGTAGGGGGTGGGTTGGAGGGGTCCCTGGGAAGCATGGGAAGATGGGAGCTGGGAGCCTGAGGGGATGGGACCTTTTATATGTAAAATAAGATTGTCTCTAAATTTGAGAAAAACACCCACTACAGGTTATCACAAAATTGGACCTGTGACTTGGGTAGCTGCCTGGGAAGCCCAGACTCTAGTGCCCCATTTCTATTGCAGATTGGAAGACTAATTCTGCTTAGTCAGGATTCCCCTCACTCTTCCCTCTTCTGTAATCAGTATTCTACATGATAAAATCAAGAAATTCTTTCCTGTTGGCTGGCCTTCCAAACCCAGTCACAAAATGATTCACCATCCTCAGACTCCCAAAATGACACGGGGCAGGCAATGCAAGACAACACAGTTACACACACAGATACAAAGACACACACACACACACACACACACACACACACACACACACACACACACACACGAAGCTCTGGGGCTACATTTAACGCTCTGTCTCTTCACCCAGATCCAATAGGAGGCACCAATACCATACCTGCAGACCTCCAGTCAGTACTGCATATGCCAGAAGTCACTTGGTGACTGACAAAGCACCGTGTCACAAGATTCCTCACTACCTGACTTCATTATAGCGACACAATGTCACTGGGAAACGAGGACAGGCTGCACCAGTCACGGGCCATGCCCTGAACCTGTACAGCAGGGACTCTAGCTCTAGGCTACAAAGGAGGACTGAAAGGCTCCTCCTCATCCCCCACTATTCCCTTGTGCCTCTTCCCTCTCCCCCAGTAGTATCGTACTGAAAGGGCAGGAGTTCCAGAACTTGTCACTAGCTGACTGTCCTCCTACCCCACTCACAAAAAGCCTCAGCATATTCTTACTGCCACAATGGCCCTAGACAGCCACACAAATCGCGCAGTCGCTAACGATTCACTGAGATAACTGTGTGGGCAGCCCTGACTCTAATGCTCCCTGCCAGTTTCTATGGAGGAAAATTCCCCTCCCACTTCCTATTTGTCCTCTGCTCAGTATTGCAGAAACGAAGACAGTCCAGAAATTCATGAAGCTTTGTGGCCACCCAACAGCCAACTCACTCACAGAAGGATTCACTGTCCTAGGACTCAAAAAATGGCAAAGGGAGGCCACTAGGAGACTGCTCCAGTCACCTCTGCCACGCCCCGCCACCCTACATACCCTGGGTAAGTAGGGGCATCTCACACTCTTGTGTCCCCTAGCTGTGGGGCTACATGGAAGGCTCTGTCTCCTCACCCAGATCCAACAGGAGGCACCAACACGGTTCCTGCAGACCTCCAGTCAGTACTGAATAAGCCAGAAGTCACTCGGTGACTGACCAAGCGCCCAGTCACAAGATTCCTCACTACCTCACCTCATTATAACGACACAATGGCACTGGGAAAGCAGGACAGGCTGCACCAGTCACGGACCACGCTGTGGCTTATCCTCCTGGGCAGCCCTGAACGCTTTGTGCCAGCTGTTTTCAGGGGCTGAATTTTCCATCAGGCACAGTTCCATCTCAGTACTCCACAATGCGGAACATCCAGAATTTCTCACTTGCTAACTGACGTCTAACTCCATGCACAGGAAGCATCCAGACCCCTCACACTTGCCATGTGGAACCTAACCACTTCTGCAGTGGCAAATATCGCTGGAGCCACTCAATGCCAGCTCCATGCCCCCTCCCCGGGCCAGTGGGATGCCTCTCCTCTATTCCTGTGGTGCAAGAAAAGTCTCTCTTCCTCCACTGTGCCACACCCCTTGTCAGTTCAAAGTCACAAGCCCTGCCACCCAAACTAGGTTCCAGGCTTCTCCAGACGCCACACCCACACCTACACCCACACACTTGCCTAAAGAAGGAGATGGAGCTGAAGAAAAACAGCAAGCTGTAAACACTGCCAGAGGTTCCCGGTCAGAAAAATGGCGGAGGTCAGGCTCTAGCGCCCCCTCTTGGTTGTGAGAAGGACTTGAGCATGCTTACCTAGATGATTGGTCAAGTCTAGGGCCACGCCTTCTGCTAAGGTGAAGCCACACCCCTCTGAATCACGTGGTGGAGTTCTGGACCAAGGAATCTCTAGCAGTTCTCTGACATACAAGGGGTAGACATAGACAGGGTTCAAAATCGATGGTTTTCCCTCTGTGTGAACTGAAAGCACCTCCTTATTTCTGACCTGGTTCTAGACAAGGACTGGGATTCTGCCAGTTTATTTTGGATGTATTTCCTGCTGTGCCAACATTACCGAGACTTTCCCCATCTTCCTACCCACACATCTTCATGCTGTTTCTGCAGCACTTCTCAACAATATTTAAAAATATAATAAAAATCAAAACAAACAAGAAAAAAAAGCAAAACAGTAAGACGGAAAGAAGTACCAAAATAAAAGATCACAGGAAACATTGATTCTGTTTTGTGTTGGCCAACTATTCCTGGGCATCCAGCCTACCTTAGAGTGTGCTTGATAAACCCAGTGACACTCCATTGAGAAAAATAGTTTTTTACTTCCCTGCATATATCATTTCCAAGAAGATACTGTGTTAGTAGTGGAAATTTCTGTCTATACCCCTCCTCAGACCGAGACCTTGTCTGGTTTAAAGCCAGACAGGACTTCTTTTTTTATATATGTATTTTTTATTTTTCAATTTCAATTTCAATTAGAAACAAGGTTGCTTCACATGTCAATTCCAGGTCCCTCTCTGTTGAGCTCCCCTCCTCCCGTGCTCTCCCACCAACTCCCCTAACATTGCCTCATTTCCCCAGGGAGGGTGAGGAACTCTATGGGGTGTCCATAATCTGTCATTTTATCCAGGTCAGGGCCTAGAGCATCCCCCAAGAGTCCAGGGTGAGAGTGCATTTCTCATTGTTGGATGGGGACCCAAAGTCCATTTGTATAATCCGGGGGATATATACTGATTTACTTCCCAAGGCTCAATAGATTACCTAGGCCTCTACAGACACCCACATTCAGGGGAACCTGTTCAGTCCCATGCTGGATTTGCAGTCATTGGTATGGGTTCAAGAGCTAACCCTTGTCAGATCAGCTATTTCTGGGGGTTAAACCAGCTCAGTTTTAAGCACTTTGGTAATTAGACCTCTGTCTCTGTCACTGGATTTCTTCAGTTCAGCTCAGTGCTTAGCCATAGGAGTCTGTGTATGCTTCCATCAGCCACTGAATGTAGGTTCTGTTTCCCAGACTCTCTGGCCATGGGATTGTAACCTGGCACTCCCCAGATCTATGTCTAAAATCCATACATGAGAGAGTACATGCCATTTTCCCTTTTTATGACGGGGTTATCATGCTCAGTACGGTTTCTTCTAGTGCCATCCATTTGCCTGCAAATTTCAGGATTCCATTGCTGTTTTTTTCTGCTCAATAGTACTCCATTGTGTAAATGGACCACATTTTCTCTATTCACTGTTCAGATGAGGGGAATATAGGTTGCTTCCAAGTTCTGGATTTACAAATAATGCTGCTATGAACATAGGGGAACAGACATCCTTGTTGTATGAATGGGCATCTTTTGGATATATGCCTAAGAGTGGAGTTGCTGGGTCTTGTGGTAGGTTTATTCCCATTTTTCTGAGGAATCTCCATATTGATTTCTAAAGTGGCTGTACAAGTTGGCACTCCCACCAGCAGTGGAGGAGTGTTCCCCTTTCACCACATCCTCTCCAGCATAAATTGTCCTCACTGTTTTTGATTTTAGCCATTCTGACCGGAGTGAGATGGTGTCACAGAATTGTTTTGATTTGCATTTCCTGGATGGCTAAGGATGTTGAGCACTTTCTAAAGTGCCTCTCAGGCATTTTAGACTCCTCTATTGAAAATTCTCTATTTAGTTCTGTAGCCCACTTTTTAATTGGCTCCTTTGGTGTTTTGGAGACTTGCTTCTTGAGTTCTTTGTAAATTTTGGAGATCAGCCCTCTGTCAGATGTGATGAGTATGTAATGCCATCCTTCATATCTTTTGATTGATAAAGGTTTGCCTATCTTGTTGATTTTCTCCAAGAACCAACTCTTCTTTGCATTGATTCTTTGTATTATTTTCCTAGTTTCTACTTTTATTTCAACCCTCAGTTTGATTATTTCCTGGCATCTACTCCTCCTGGGGGATTTTGATTCTGTGTGTTCTAGAGTTTTAAACTGTGCTGTTAATTCTCTCATGTAAGTTTTCTCCAGTTTCTTCCTGTGGGCACTTAATGCTTTGAACGTCACATGTAGCACAGCTTTCAAAGTGATACATAGGATTGGGTATATTATGTCATTTTCTCCTTGAATTCTAGGAAGTCTTTAATTTCTTTTCTATTTCATTTTACCCCAGGAATCGTGCAGTTGTGCATTATTCAATTTCCATGAGTTTGTAGGGTTTCTGTAACTTATGTTGTTGTTGAATTGTAATTTTAACGCATGGTGGTCTGATAAGATGCATGGAGTTATTCCAATATATTTGTACCTGTTGAGGATTGATATGTTGCCAAGTATTTGGTCACTTTTTGGGAAGGTTTCATGTGGTGCTGAGAAGAAGATATATTGTTTTGTATTTGGATGGAATGTTCTATAGATGTCTATTAATCCCAATAGTGTTGTAACTTCTATTAGCCACTTTGATTCTTGGTTAAGATTCTGTGTGGTATTCCTTTCTAGTGTTGAGATTGGGGTGTTGAAGTCTTCCACTATAAGTGTTTGGTGCTTTATATGTGCTTTGAGTTTTAGTAATATTACTTTTACAAACATTTCTTGTGTCCATTTGATTGGAAAATATTTTCCCCATCTGTATCTCTGAGGTAATGTCTGTCTTTGAGGCTGAGGTGAGTTTCTTGTATGCAGCAGAAGGATGGGTTCATGTCTTATAGTCCATTCTGTTAACCTGTGTCTTTTATGGGCTAGTAAAGACCATTATATTGAGGGATATTAATGACAATTGATTGCTCATTCTTCTTTAAATTGGAATGGTTGTTGTTGGTGGAATTATGTGTGGAATTCCACCACTTTTTTTCTTTGGGCTCTTGGTAAGGTGGGATATTCTATTGCCTATGTTTGTCTGGTTGTAGTTAAATTCCTTGGGTTGAAGTTGGTTAGAGGATATGTATTGCTTGACCCTAGATTTTTCATGGAATATCTTGTTTTCTCCATCTATAGTGATTGAGAGCTTTGCTGAGTATAGTATTCTGGTTTGGCATCCATGGTGTCTTAGTGTTGGTAGAATATCTATCCAGGACCTTCTGCCTTTCAGAGTTTCCATGGCGAAATCAGGTGTAATTCTGATAGGTTTTCCTTTATATGTTATTTGTACTTTTTTCTTAGCTTCTCTTAATATTCTTTTTTTTATTCTGTATATATTGGGTCTTGATTATTATGTGGCAGGGTAGGGGAACTTTTTTGTGCTCCACTCCATTTAGTGTTGCGTTAGCTTCTTGTACCTTCATTGGCATGTATTTCTTTTTTTTTTTTTTGGAATGACCTCATATTGTTTTAATTTTTTAAATTTATTTTTCAGTTTAAATTTATATAAGAAACAAGGTTGCTTCACAAGTCAGTTCCAGGTCCCTCTCCCTTTCCCTCCCCTCCTCCCGTGCCCTCCCCCCAAACCCCCCCATTATCCCCTCATTTCCCCAGGGAGGGTGAGGCCCTCCATGGGGGTGTCCATAGTCTGTCATTTCATATAGGGAAGGGCCTAGACCCTTCTCCAAGAGTTTAGGGTGAGAGTGTACCTCACATTGTTGGATGGGAGTCCAAATTCCGTGTGTACACTCGGGATGGGTACTGATCTGCTGCCCAAGGCTCAATAGATTACCTAGGCCTCCTCACTGACCCTCACATTCAGGGGGTCTTGATCAATCCCATGCTGAATTCCCAGGCTAATGCCTGGGATTCAAGAGTTAACCTTTGTCAGGTCAGCTGTTTCTGGGGGTTAAACCAGGCCAGTCATAATCCCTTTGGTCATCAGTCCTCCCTCTCTGTTACTGGCTTTCTTGAGTTCAGCTCAGTACTTAACCGAGGGAGTCTGCCTCTTCTTCGATCAGCCAAAAAATTAAGTTTCTGTTTCCCAGACTCTCTGGCCATGGGATTGTAGGCTGGCCCTCCCCAGATCTATGTCTAAAATCCATATATGAGAGAGTACATGCCATGTTTGTCTTTTTGCGACTGGGTTACCTCACTCAGGATGGTTTCTTCTAGTGTCATCCATTTGCCTGCGAATCTCAGGATTCCATTGTTTTTTTCTGCTGAATAGTACTCCATTGTGTAAATGTACCACATTTTCTCTATCCA